CCCGCCTCGACTTTTTACGACTTTGATATTCCTCCTCTCGGGGTGCGTGATAGACTTACCTCCACGTGGTGCACCCTGGGCAACGTATATTCACACGGCAAAAAAGTCTATTAACTGGCGAATGACTTCTGGCGCAGTACTCATCCTACCTTTTCTCTAATTTCATGTCTGTCTCTTTACATCTCTAAATCACTCTTATGTTCTCCACCCCTCGACTTTCTGTTACTTTGATGTTCCTTCCCATCTGTAAAGCCTGAAGTCAGCTAAAGGGCTAATGATAACTATCAAAACGCCTGCCATTTGAAATAAATAAATATTCCTCCTCTCTGTGAAGCCCGAAGTCAACTAAAGGGCTAGTGATAACTATCATTAAGCCAACCATTTGATATTAATTTTTAAGACATTTGGGGGGGGGCGTAATTATGTTCAAGCATGGTCTCTGATAATGATCTCACCACCCATCCATGTTCAACCTTCAATCAGTACCAGTTGCGGAAAAAGGACGGCTAAAGTCCAACAAAATTAGCGAGCTGGTAGACTCATCTCTCTTCCCTCTTTTTCTAGCCCATTCAATTCCGCACCTTTTATTCAATAAACTCCAATTATTCCACCTAGGCCACCTACACCCGCTAGTTATTACCAACTGGCTCATTCTCGACTTCTTTTGTCCACCTGAATTGTTCTATCATTTTACATCAGTAGGAGGAGGCAAATATACCCCCCCCCTCCCACTGACTGCTAAGTATCTTCAAGCTTCCATTCTGACTTTTAGTGAGTTTAAATAAACACCTTCTCGTTCATTACTTTGAATTTTACTATCGCAAACAGTTAAAATATTTTCGGTGAGCTGCAGTGAGCTTCACTCTTAAAGACCAACCATTCAGACAAACTACTTTAGTGACATCTGGTCAATAAAACACCGATTACTTTGAATTGCTAAAAAATTAAAGAAAAGATAGTGGCTGAAAGACCTCGCATAGTAATAACAAAACAACCCTGCTATACATGTCAAGTACCCTTTATTTAAAAAAGGTTGAGTCGAGTTTGTAAAACAGCGGCTCTTCATGATACGAATACATGACCCAATGATTATCACGTGAACTTATTGATATTAGTATTTTTAAAGGTAGTAATAGTTTATGAGCAACACAACTTTAGCATAACGAAAGCAGAGTCCTCGCGACCATATCCAGGACAACCAATCAACGGTCAGATCCAGTACGTGGTTATCATACCATAAAGTGTAAATTATGGTTAAGTCCTAATTCACTACATACAATTGCAAGTAAATGTGTTTCACGTCATACGTCTGTTTCCTCATTGTCTTTTAGCTAATACTGGGAGTCTTTATAAACAATGGAGAATCTGCCATAGAGATTACTAAGAATAGTCAAGGCTTGTTAGTGTAGCAGCCAGCTACAAGTTAGAGTGCCGAATTGAGCATTGTAAGACTTTCAAGGGATAATTCAAACCGAGCTGAATTTTCGTCAACGCATTGATGCAGACTACCCGTACGGAATTTATATCCTTCGAGTTGCCACTTGTTCAATCAAACTACTTTCCGCCATTCTGAACACCCTTAGTCTTAGAAGCCATACAGAGTAGACCTTCGCCTTGGTACTAAGATAGTGATTTAATCTAGCGTCTTGTGTAAGAATCATCTGAAAAGGACGTGTGAGATCTAGAATTTAATAATACAATCAAGCAAACCGCCCCATGAATAGGTTTAATATCCATATCTTTATAAAGTTTGCTTGTGTTTATGTCGGTTATTGTAATTAAGAGGGAATTCCCATAAAATGCTGATTACAAAATCACCATTTGCTTATTTGTTCATTTATAACAAACCCACCATTTTCGAGTACTCCCAGGCGTTATTTTTCTACTCAATTTTCACGCACCTCTTCAATGTGCACAAGCGCACAATCCTACCGTAAGCCACCAAGCGCGTTGTTAGTGAGGAATGGAGGGTGACTGAGATAGCGACCTCGTTTGCCAACACAGCAACACTTACCAACACGCAGACAAACTGGAGTGACTCGAAACATTCCTAAGCTCCTCACAACGTTAAACTAACAATGTTGAGCAATCGGATAGCAGATTGCAAACGAGATCCATTGATTCACTTCCCTTCTCCAAAGGATATATCTAATCTTTTAGAAGACAAAGATCAGGTTCATCTTCTCTATAAGCCTCATTAAAATTGCTTAAAATAGTCTTATTGTAACTACTAGATTTCGCATACAGCCTTACAAGATTACACTGATAGACGTGCAATATTATACCAGTCGCTATCTACCATAAGTTAAAATTTAAAGTCAAGATCACATTTGAGATAACCTAAAGTATGCATATCCTAGACCTCAACACAATTTAATCCCACTTTAATCGAAGCTCACACGGCAGGTCAAGTCCAGTTTAAGCGGCTCTTCAATTATGCCACTCCCTATTTTGTTACTGCAGAACAGGACATCCAATGCCCCCCCCCCCTCCCCAAAAAAAGGACCTTGGCAGTTTAATTTTTAGTTGACTTTTGCCACTTAATAGGTGCAGAAACGTGAGGAACCGACGGTATGGCCGTTGTTAATCATTCCCTATGTTCCATCCCTCTCTAACTTTCCACACCGTAGCGCATTCAATACCTTTCTTGTTCCGTCTCCTTTCTATCTTGTTAGTGGTGAAGTTGACGATATTTAGAAAATATGTCTCAGTATTATCTTGGTGGCTTTTAAGTTGTAGTCCTATTGTATACGGACATTGAGTAAAATACTCCACTACCTTCATGTCGAATACAGTGTAATGCAATATAGAATGCCATTGGTATGCAGTATCATCACAATGACTCCCAAGACAATTAAACACTTTGATGTTCCTCTTCCTTTCTGTGAAGCCCGAAGTCAACTATAGGGCTAATGATACCCATCTAATGTCACCATAACTGCCGAAAAAATCACGAATGGGCCACTACTCCATGACTTTTAACTGGCCAGACATGAACACATTTGCACTATCAAAGGAGCATACTCTATCGGTTGTACTGCTATATTGATGGCAGACAAGTATCACTCCCAGATCGGAATGTGGCTGCTGACCCACCTGTACAAAGCAGTCTTGAACGCAGCCCAGGATTTTATAGTATTGACAGTCAAAAAAAAACTAAAGCTATATATATAACAGCTCATAGCTGAAATAGTACGTATAACACACAATAACCCCAACCCCAAATGCCAATAATTTTTTGCAAAAAAAAGTAGCATTGCATATTGCAAAAAAATGCAATTTATTCAATGCAAAACTTGAGAATATACATATAAAAACTAGAGGGCTGAGATTGCTACTTTGAAGGTGTTTCCATGGTGTTCTGGTCTACAAAAGAAGAAAGATTAAAATATGTTAGGAAGCCTACACGAACACACACACACACACCCCTTGGCATGTAAAATCTCACCCATGCAACACCTACAAAGGCCATTATAGACTAATCAAGCGATCGATCCCCTATTACATATCAAGTCTTAAATGGTAACATTTAATTTTTTCGTGTCACAAGTCTTCTACAACCTGAGGTGGGGATAGCAACTAAGCCGTTATACAAAAAAAATGAAGCTTAGCAATTCTGGCAAAGAAAACGTTCAAATTTCACCATGATAAATTCTAACACCACTTGACTTGAATAGAGGCAAAGCTTCCAGAATCCGTTCTAATGGAACTTGAATTCTAAAATTCCATCTTGTTCATTGGGATGAATCAATGCGGTTAGCCAACCAAACCACTGAGTTTGTCTAGGTTGATGTCCAATTTAACCACTACGCCATTTTTTGACACCAACGATTACAGCTAAGGCGATGGATATGACCTCATGAACCTTTTTCAGAAAGGAAACTAGACAAAGGTTCATAGGTAATCCCAATAGAGATAATTAATTATTAACAATTCTGCCAAGTTTCCCTAGAAGATATGAAGACACAACAGCACAAAGAAGAATCAAATATTCTCGATTACCAAGCGGAATGAATAACATTCTGTGAAAGGAGAGCAGAGTTTTACAGATAAACAACCTTCATTTATGAAATATTAGCTATTTTTCACTCACCATGCAGTGATATTCAAAAAAGTGAAAGGAAACCAATCCCCAAATTTGTGCTTCCGTGTCTGAGCCATTGCACTGTAGCCATGGCGCAAGTCTATTGTGTCTATAGCTGTATACTGTTGTAGAAGTGGTGATATAGATTTATTTAACGAGCTACTAGGTCTAATGATCTGCTTTCCGTTTCGATAAGAGATAGCGAAGGCAAAAAATGCATCGGCCTAGCAGTAGTAAAGTCCGAAGACTAGTAGTATTTATTTCAAGTGAATGGGGTGTGCGATGGACTTACCTCCACGTGGTGCACCCTGGGCAACGTATACTAATACGGCAAAAATTCTGACCTCAAACTACCATCACCCCACTGTATGTCATATTCGACCACTTTCCCAGTACTCATCTTACCTTTTCTCTGCCTTTGTGTCTTTCACATCTGTTAATCATTATTCTGCCCCCCCCCCCTCTCCTGACTTTTTGTCACTTTGATATTCCTCCACCTCTCTGTGAAGCCTGAAGTCAGCTAAAGGGCTAATAATGACTATCAAAACGCCTGCCGTTTGAGATAAATAAATTTCAAGTGCCTTTTTTGCTAATCTTTTAAACGGTTTAAAAAATAAATCTCTGATGGGAGGGCAGTAAGAAACATAGTTTTCATTTTGTCTCAGGATGAGCAACGGCCACCAACTTAACCAGTATGCAAGAACACGTGTTTCAGACAGCTTGTCATTTAGTGGGGTTAATGACTGTGTCATCGATCTAGCAGTGATTTGACACAAATGCTGTTCATTTATCTACAGTCTCCATTGGGCTAATAAGCCGCCTTGAGTAAATGCACTTCTATCTTTTCTCTCTACCCCCCGGTCTGGTTAGAGTGTAGACCGGCAAAATATAGGGAGCAAATAGATTATAGCGTTTCAATAGTGCAGAAGAGGACATACTTTACAAAAAAATCTACCGACAAGACGTATCGACTTTAGACATGCTAATGTGGAAATAAAACTCGCCTTCACATTCCTTGAGCAGACCAATCGCTGTTAAGAAGTGCCTCCCAACACGCATGAGTACCGATCGATATAATTTCTCCGCATCTCCCCTAGAGGTCAAAACGATCTGGCAGACTTTCCTACTACCCTCTTCAACATCAGAGTTACTACCATCGACGTCGGTGTTTTGAGGGGCTGTGTAGAATAATTGGAGCTCCTTCTCCCCGTTTAGACAGAATGCGAGGCGTTCATTGACACTTGTGGTGACCTGCAACTCACCATTTCCACTGCTCACTTCGATGATTGAAGTTCCGCCCATTGGAAAGTCGACTAAATTCACTATCAGACTATTTAAAGGGTCTGAGGTGGCTACAATCTCAGTTTTTTTGTTGCAAGGATGCGAAGTGGAGGTGAGAATAACGCGTTCGCAGTGAAAGCTAAAGGCTGTCACTTCAGAGGAGTTTTTAGCCGATGTTGTGTTAATGGAAGTAGAGAGGGTACTGTTGTGATCGGTCTCCTTTCCTGTTGATACTTCTGATTGACGCGACTCATTATCTGATTCTGCATCGTCATTTTCAGACCGCGAGGAAAATGATACATCTAAAAGGAAAGAAGTTGAATATAATATAGTAATATATAAAAAACGGGTTTATAAGTTGGAATCTATAACCCACAATACTTTTTTGGTGAAAGCTAATAGAACCAAGCGATTCTGATAAACTTCAATTGGCTGGAGGAAGGAATATTGGGATGAGCATAAATTTCTTTTTGACTATAAACGATTTATCAAATGGATAAAGATCTACTTATAGAAAAAAATACGAATCCGTCAAGCGTAAATCATCTCAAAATTTACAATACCAATTTAGACTAGAATTAGCGATATAAAAATGAAGGGATTGAAGGCAGACCAGTCTGAAGTCCAGTTCACTGATTTCTTACACCACTCGAATTCCTCAAGCTTCACCCACCATTTTCTGCTTCCGTAAATTTAAATGAAAAACCGGATGATAATTTTAAATTTGAAAAAAAAGAATGCAAAATTTGCATCCCGTAAATTATTTCAGGCCTTGAGACTAGAAAATTGAGAACACGTGAAAAGAACACTACGCAATCCACTTAGCTAGAGAACTAGTCGTGGTGTATAAAAGCGATTTCATTAATCAGTAATAAGAATTCTCCGCTCCCCCCCCCCCCCCCCCCCCCCCCAAGAAAAAGGGAGAAAACGGAAGAAAAGTTAAATCGTTATAGGTGGTAAGAAAAACAGCTAGAAATATATATATATATTGGGTTGGCAACTAAGTCATTACCGTTTTTGTTGACGGATTCACTTTATACTTTCTTTTGTTTTGTTAACGTGGTCAGAGCATCTAACCTATATTTTTTCTTACTGTATGGGCTTCTAGGTTAATTAGTAAAAAATTTTTTTGTTTACTTCTTTAGTTTTGTTTTTATCCCAATTTAAAAATGAAAGAACAGGACGTGCACTTCCCACACATTTTATTGTATTACTTCCGAAAAGGCAAGAACGCATCGCAAGCACAAAAGAAGTTATGTGCCGTATATGGAGATGAAGCCTTACAAGAAAGGCAGTGTCAAAATTGGTTTGAAAGATTTCGTTCTGGTGATTTTTCACTCAAAAATTCACAACGATCTGGCCGCCCAGTCGAAGTGGATGAAACCCATATCAAGGCCATTATCGATTCAAATCGTCACAGCACAACACGAGATGATATTGCAGAGAAGCTCAATGTGTCGCATACATGCATTGAAAATAAATGAAAAACCCTTGGTTATGTCAAGAAACTTGATTTATGGATCCCTCACCAGTTAAAGGAAATTCATTTGATGCAACGGATTAGCATCTGTGATTCGCCGCTACTGAAACGCAATGAGAATGATCCTTTTCCGAGGAAGAACCTAGTTACTGGCGACGAAAAGTGGATAGTCTGTCAACAATGTTACTCGCAAGAGATCATGGGTGAAGCAAGATCAACCATCCCAAACAGTATGAAAAGCAGAGATTCACCAAAAAAGATTATGCTGTCAGTCTGGTGGGATCACAAAGGAATTTTGTATTTTGAACTCATGCCGCAGGACCAAACGATAAATTCAAATGTGTATGTTGAACAACTCGAAAAACTGAAGGATGCAATTGAAGATAAGCGGCCAGCATTATCAAATCGGAAGGGTGTTGTTTTCCATCATGATAACACAAGGCCCCACACATCTTTGGTCACTCGGCAAAAATTATTGCAACTGGGTTGGGATGTTTTGTCACACCCACCATATAACCCTGACCTTGCGCCTTCGGATTACCATTTGTTTCGTTCCATGCAAAACTCTTTAAATGGTAAAATTGTTAACAACGCGGATGATGTCGGATCACACCTAATTCAGTTTTTTAATAGCAAAGACCAGACATTTTACGAACGGGGAATTTTTACTCTGCCAGAACGATGGAAAAAGGTCATCGACAAGAACGGTCAATATCTAATTGAATAAAGTTATATTTTTAAACAAAAATTCCGAATTCGCCTTCTTATTTGAAATCGGCAACGACTTAGTTGCCAATCTAATATATATATAATTCTTTGTAATTTAGAATGCTCGGTTTATATGCACCTCAGTCGGAGTAATAGCTCATCCAACTCTTATCATTGATTTTCCATTAACTGATAATTCAATTTACTGAAAAGGCGCATTTAATAGCAATTTCATCGTGACCGATTGGAAATAAAAGTGCGCGCTGCCTTTTTTCGAGCAAAAAGCTAAGAAGCGTGAGAAAAAAGTCATTCGTCAGCCAAAAAAAAGTTAAATTGATGTGAAAGTGCATGTGAAAAGAAACTCAGGAGGCGGTGAATTTCGGGAAAAGAACAGCCCGAAAGGAAAGAGTAATCTAATAATACAAACTAAGCTGCAGTCGCGGCATAAGAGGCTTATGAAAATAAAAGGAAAAGAAATTACTGGGCATGATTACAAAGGCTTGACTAGAGGGTAAAAAAATAGTTTGAACTACGAAGAAGACGCTTTGCCGTTGAAGGAGCAAAATAATTGGATAAAAGAAGCTTGAGGATTCGCATTAATAAACAGTAATCTGATATAGCTTGGATTCAACGCTTTACCATTTTCACAGGAATTCAGGATCAAACAAGCACAAATGGTTCCAAAATACCAATACAAATAAGGCAACTTTCGGTGCGTGTAAAATTTTGAGACCTGAATAAAAACTATTAATCACATCGAACTCTTTTTAAATTGTCAGGCTTTTAACAGATTACTATTAGTACCAGTAATACCAATGGAGAAGACCCACCTGATTCGGTGTCCAGCCCTAAAGACAACGACGAAAACACAGAGATACTGGGAAGCAAGAAGACAGTTAATGAACTGGTATTAACTGCTATATATGTACCCCCCCCCCCTCTACCCATGGGGAAAGCTGAAGTCAAAGTTTAATGGCTAATGATAAATATCATAAAGCCTGCCATTTGAAAAAAAAATAATACCAGCAGCAGTAAAAAGTTCACGGTATCGAAGACATGTCCAAGATAGAGAGATGTCAGGTTCCCATCAATAAGGCATTCATAGAGTGAATGGCATTCTAAGATTTGATCGGAAAAGACCAGATTTGTCTTGACCTCACGCTTTTTGCCCAAAATACCTTAACTTAAGATGTTTGTGAAAATAAGTTCTACCTGGGGTTGGTTTTTGGAAGGTCTTTTTCAGATTATTATGTTGAAATGGACTTGAAATTAACTAACCCGATAGAAGTCTCTAATGCTCTTCTATTCACTTGGGGAAAAAGGACTAATAAATGTCACATAAAAGTGGGCCAACCAATTCCTATTTCAAATTAGTTGCACTTTCAGCCTCAGTACTCTCTGTAAGGCATTCTAAAAAGGAACGGAAGGGGTAATCAATGCCAACGGAGTCAAAAAAAGTGTCGCTTATGAATTGCACTGGTCTAACCACAATTTAATTTAACATACCGATCACACATTAAAATTAAATCGTTTGTGTGCCTGAAATCTGACTAGAACCAGTCGGGTCCCTAAAATAGTATCTACAAGGCTCTGAGATAGAAATGTAACAAATTAATGATCGAGAAGATCAATAGGATAGAATAAACAGGAAGACTGACAATTTGCGATAGGACAAGTAGGAACACCCTTACATTCACGTAGGCAAAAGGGCTTAATAGAGACAATAGTTTTCCACTCATTTGCATCGCAATTTATTTACATTTTAATTAAGTTGAGTATTTACTCATGTACACATTCCTCCCGTCTTAAAAAAACTGATCTCAATTAAGACTCCGTTTATGCACCCATTTACACTTTGCACTTGCATCGAATGAAAACGTAGACTCACAATAAGAATAGAGCTGTCATAGTTCAGATATATAGGCAAATATATACATAGTAGCAAATGATGATAAGAAAGCACTTCACTTACACAGTAATAAACACATTGTAGTAATCAGAGAAGCAGATGCGAGGCTTTAAGTTCTTTTTTCTCGATAAAAGAAAAAGAGGAAGAGAGCGTTTGCTGGCGTTTTTTGTTTTGGGGTACTTATACTATCTACTAGGGGTGCGCGATAGACTTACCTCCACGTGGTGCACCCTGGTCAACGTATACTCATACGGCAAAAGTCGATTAATCGGCAGTTGACTTCTCACTTCAAACTACCATCACCCCACTGTATGTCATATGCAACCACTTCCACAGTACTCACCTCACCTTTTTTCTACCTTTGTGTCTGTCTTTTACATCTTTGAATCTCTCTTCTGCTCCCCCTCTCGAATTTTTCTCACTTTGATGTTTCTTTCCCTCTTTGAAGCCCGAAGTCAACTAAAGGGCTAATGATAACCATCAAAACGCTTGCCATTTGATATAAATAAATAATCACTATCTACTATTCGGAATTAGGCAAGGCCCTCCTCCTCAAAAGCTTGTCAGGATTAATCTTCCCTTGTTTAATTGCAAGGTCGCAAGTACTAGGGCGAGAAAAGAAGCAAAGAAAACTATAAAGGGCCGAAAGAAAACAATGTGAAGGACCTGGTAGAATATATGAACAGCACTACCTACTCGAAGCTGGAGTGTCCACAGTAATAAGCTGTTAACCCAAATCCTGTAACTACTGAAACCCCGAAAGTGCTACAAGTTAAAAGCTGAAAGACACACTTGTCAGGCAATTATGTTTTCTCTTTTTCATCCTTATGCGTGATGGTAGAAAGAATGGATGATTAATGTCCACCAGAATCATGAAGGAGAATAACTCGCTTTTTGAAAATTAGCGTCGATCTTCAAAAATATAAGGAGATTAAGGTAATCGCCCAGTGCTCCCTTAACACTAGGAAAACAACCCGACAAGAACTAGATGATTTCAATGGCATCAATCTCTAAGAAAAAATTGTTCGAGCACTCTAGAATCGCAATTTCGACATTGTCATAACAATTAATGCTTTTTCTCTACTACGAACTCAAAGAACCGTTGCAGATGTCCGATTCTCGTGCAAAAATTCAGACAAAATGTTTGACAAAATAGAGAACAAGTTTATTGGTTCAAGAGATCGCGAGAAATGCGATATGTGAAGCTTTAAATTTAGTCAAATTCACATAGACGGTCTGTCACAACAATGAAAATTAAAAAGAACATTGATTGAACAATGCTGTATAAAAAATGTTACTCCAACTTAACAACTCCCCAAGTTTCTACTAATAATGGGGAATAAAAGAAAAAACAAGGGAAACATTTGACCAATTGCAGAAAATCAGTAAAATTCGTAACAAAGCAATACTCGATATTCAATTTATACAAACATCGTTAGTTAGTCTATAAAACAGCCTCGTAACCACTTATAGCAACCATTTAATCAGCCTCCATTCTTGAAGTTGACGAAAGCGGTAACCATCATGGATCATGGCGTTTGAAAATGGCAATGAAAATTTGTGTATGGCCATTAATTGCCTATTTCGGAACGCTTCAAACCACCATAATACCACTTTAGCATATTCTGGTGGGAAGCAAAAAGTCAAGAGCCTAAACGAATTTCAAATCTGAGATGAAAATTGTAATAGAGTCACATCTCCCCTCATTTCAAGATGTAATCAATTCATGTAAAGCATAATTGTCATTTTAAAGAGCAAAAGTGAAAAATTAATAATGAATTACCCTGAGAGTGTGGAGATGTAGATTGAATAACGACCTTCACAGGCACAGGATTCGATTGCATTGAATATCCCCTCTTCTGTCCCAAGTCCACCTCGTGTTCCTGTAGTTCCACAGACCCCCTGCGTCTTATCAATGCATCATAGAGCTCTCTTGCAGTATCAAGTCCACCAAATCTCAACATGTAGGTCCGAACTGTCCCAACTTTGCTCACCTCGCCACTCTCCGCGTCTGCTTCAGCCAACGCAAGGGCACCAATTCGCACAGCTTTGCTTTCAGGCACGAAAGCCAGGGGCATTTCTGCCCAAACTCTCGTGTTCACAACAACTCGCCTAGTTGACTGCAAACGGATAATCAGGCGTGAAGAGTTATTATCATCCCATTCAGAAAAGTCATTTAAATGCAGATAACTTTGTCCTATAGCTTTCCATTGTCTTGATTCACGATTGAAAACATAGGCGGAACAAGTAAGTTCAAGAACTGTGTGTTCATTTTCTTCTCCTGTCAAAATTTCATGCGGTTGTCCACCATTGTTATCAGAGGTGAGAGACAACTGCTCCGCATTGCGTTTATTAACCAACGCAACTGCGGATTCTTCCAAAAGTTCTGTGTTTGGTTCCTTCTCTTTTGATTGCTTTGCCACAGCTTTAGCAAGAGTAGTAAACACTGAGCCTACGGATTCCTTTGAACTAAAAAAATTAATAATATTCGATAAACCTACTCGTTGTCCTGAGATTCTGAAGCCAATGATTGCCAAATGCTTCCGGATGCTCCTTGGTTGGCATTGACGACCCTCGAACCCATATTTTTGCCGAAAATAAATTCGCCACAACTACCACTAGTTTCTGTAGACGTTTGAGCATGATGGGAAGAAGTAAATTTTGGAGCCTCGACAAGGGGTTTCGCTGGAGTGCTCGATGGCTCGGGTTCTGAGGGCTTAATTCCAGCATCAGCAACCGAAAGGTGGCCAGAAAGAATAGATGGTCGAAGGATTGAATTAGCAAAAATGAATGGAGAAGAATCATCAGATTTTTGAGGCGAAGTATCCATATTAGCTACATAAAGAGGAATATAAAATAAGCACAAGAAAAAGAAGTTTTGTAAAATTCATGCGAATCTTGTACCATACAAATATATAACAATGCAAAATTCAATCAAAAAGAACACCACGCCTAAGTTCAAATAAAACTAAATATAGAGGTCTTAATAGTTAGTATATAGCAAGGTTATGATATAATTTGCTTGTAAGAATTAAACCATTAGTTAATTAAATTAATTAAATCAAAAGTATATTGGCAATAAAGTCATGTTCAGACTGTCGATCGATTGTAATCACTGTAATAAATTATAGGGTTTGAAGTCTGGATAAATCAAATTGCGATAACAAAGAAAGAGGCACTTTTTATCATGATTTAATTGGTATCTACACAATATTATACCAGTGATCACCATCTCTGCAAATTTCGCAACCAAAAATTTGAAATATTTTATAATAAATAACTGAAAAGCACTCCATTTCAAGGATGCCGATTTCTCTACTGGAAAATGGATTGAGAAATTTTAAAAGTTATCGAACTAAAATACCTCCACTAAATGTACCTGTTATGTAATATATTTTGGATTGTTCTTCATGACGAAGGAACTCTTTTATTACATAAGCCTCCTATCGACTTCGCCTTCATTTGCTCATAATCATGCCTCAATACAAAATAGTGAATCATGCGTTTAGAAAACGTAAATCGAATATTTTAATCATTTAATCAATTTATGATATTATATAACGTGATGCATAACAAGAATTCGATATAAACTCTTTTCAAATATTTAAATGTAAATACGCAACAGCCATAAATAATTATTCATAAGTAGAATAGGCGAACGTGGAAGCTATATTGATATTTAATGTAAACCTAAAGTGTAGGAAGCCAAAATCCGGCACGCTTTGCGCCCATTTTTTGTGCAGATTTTCTATAAAAAGAAATCGGCAAATTTCATAAATCATTCATGTTTTTCAGACCACTGCACTTTATCTTGAATGTACATAATTTAAAATTGAACTAAACATTTAAATATTTAAGTTAAATCGTTTTTTTTTTGCGACTAAACATATACTCCATAAAAAAATACATTCTGAATTTAAGCAATCTTAAAAATTATTTGTGGTGCAAAATTATATTAGTGCTAACACTATCAGCCAATATTCTGTATTTTAGGAACAAATCATATTTCTAAAAACACAGATTCCTCAACTACATTTTAATAATTGCAGTTTTGTAATTGGACCACAAGAAATAACGTTGAACTTCAAGTTTTATACTTTCTTCAGATTTTATAATTTAATATGTAAAATCTCTCGAAAATAATAATTTTACCCATAATAATTATTTTTTGCTTGGTATTTACGTTTTAAATCTTTATAAATTATTCACGAAGGTTTGGTTTTACTGCTTCAAAGTCGTAAAGGCTACACCTGGGCGAGCATTTTGTATTTCCTGCTCGTTGCAATCGGGGCGGTTCTTCTTCTCTTTAGTTAGGCCGACTTCGTCATGCAACATTCTGAACCTGATAATTTAGCCCAAGACGAAGACGATTCACCACAATCGGTTCCGCAACCGGAACGTGATGCTTTCTTTGATTCTGACGATAGAATTATTGAAGACTTATTGTATGATCAAATTCGCTATCATACGCCTCCAGCATATTGCTACGGCGAAACTATTGCAAGTGGCATATATTGTCGAAGAACCTTGTTGAACTGGATAAGGGAAGTTTGTGATCACCGTAATGCACCAACTGAAGTTCTCGCTCATACAATCCAGCTAATTGATCGTTTCTTGTCTCAAGCGAAAACAGATAAGCGTGAATATCAATTAGTCGGGGCAGCATGTCTCTTGATCTCTACTAAACTCAAGGAAACGGTTCCCGTTTCTGTCGAGGATTTGGTGCGCTATAGTGACTTTTCTATCACTAAAGACGAAATATGCGTGAGTATTCGTTTTCCATGCTAATTATTAATTTTCCTATATATAATTTCTAATGTCTTTACGTGTTTTAGATGAAAGAACTGCTCATTTCCATTTGTCTGAAATATGATCTTAGTATGCTAACTGTGACTGATTTCATAAAGCCGTTGGTGGATCGCTGTCCCGTGGATGCAGACCTTAATAGAATCATTCGACATTGTTCCGATACTTTGTATCATAAAGTCGCCCATGGTGAGTTATTCTTGATTTCTTACTCCATTTTAGTGGAGGGTCTTAATTGGTACCTGCCGAGTTATGTCGCCTCTTCATGTATTCTCTATGCCACTCAACTTCTTGATCTGCCCCAAGTTTGTAAGCAACTCATTCAACAAATGAGGGCCAAATTTGTCACACTTCTCAAAATGGATCCCGTAAGTGCGCTATTCAGTAATGTGCTTCTAATTGCTGTGGTAATTGACTATTAATCTTTTTCTCTAAGAATAAGTTAGAGGACACTTTAAAGTATTTCCAATCACTATATGATCCCGGAACTGCGGACGTGTCTAACGACGTTCGACGGGTTGATCGTGGCGATGGACTTGTCGATGAACTTTTGGCTAAATCGGGTAAAGCTTCGGCTGCATCAAATAATGTTCCAGATACACCCCCGGAAACTTCATCCTCTTATCATTCGAATACTTCAACTTCATCTGGTCAAGGAATTGACATTGATTCAAATTTGCTCGAAACAAATACGGAAGGAACAGGGGGGGATACATCTCCTACTGATCCATCCTCCGATTATGAGGAAGATGGCGAAGCCCTTTTCTGAGGCCTCTTGGGTGCTCTCAACAAGTCTTTCATCTGCATTTTTCTACCAGTCCCCATTTTAATACTTTCCTTTTCCAGCTTTGGTTTGTTTGTGCTTCCGTTTGACGGGAAGTTGATCCTTCTCCGTAATTTTCTTTTGCGATATTTCTAATCGCAAGCGATAAATCGGGCCATCATCTCGCATTTCGTGCTGTTTGCTAATTTACTGCAATCGATGTATTATGTATCTAGTTCTCTATTTTGTAATTTCCTCCACAGTGCTCTCTCTCTCTTTGCCCTCTCGCCCTTTTTCTAACAGCCTTTTTTCTATTACCTCGTAATAAGAATCGCAGTATAGTGATTCTCTCACTTGCTACACTACTGTTGCTCATCTTTTGTATACTGATTTGTAATCTTGTGGTTGTCTACAATGGTAACTCATACGACGTGTTCTATCACTAATAATATACTGTAGCCAAGTGTGCATTTCCCTCTTATCACTCACTTCGCTGTGTTTGATGCTGGAGGATACGTGGTAGGGAAAAGACTAGTCACCCGGGCTGAGGACACGGTGCCGTTATGCTCTACATGGGTTTGCCTATCATCCAGACGCTGCACGTATTATTGCTCCCCGATTCTTCGTGAATTTTGCCTGAGACGTACGTACGTACGGTGGTGTGTTCGCAATCTAGGTCATCTAAAAAGGGTAACTTTACTAGTTTTCCGCTCACTAGTGTATTTGGCAAAGCCTTCTAGATTAGTATGCTTGTGCTCCCTTGAACGCAACTAATGGTCAATAACTAGTTCGTCCGTCATCTTTTGTGATAAACTAAAAGCTGGAAATAACCGATTTAGCTTTTTTAACTTTACTGCTTTGGTTGATCTTTTACATGAGTGGACAACCTGGATTTTGAGTCTAGATTCTCGGGGGGGGGGGGGAGGGTTGCCTATATTAATTACAGTGTCTTTAAACTGATGGCCTTGGTAGTGAATTGGAATCGATAATTATTTTTCACAGATGAGCAAAATTAATTTACAACTTTTGGCCATGAGGGAACATCCTAAAACAAGGAGCAATGATCGATAAGTAGCCAAAGTCGGATTCGGGAGAAGTCTACTTCATCAGAACTCCTGATTAAATGCATTTTCTGATGATTTCATTGCCATACCTACCCCCCCCCCCTTTCGCTTAACTCTTGATGCATTCACCAACTACACAAAGTAGTCTTCTAATGGGTAGGTCTTTGGGTTTTTGATGGTCGATATGTCAGGATCTTCTTGTCTCACTTTTGTTTGCAGAATTGTTGGCATCCGCAATCCGCTTAGATAATTTACCGTTGGTATTAAATTGCCATTGCTCTAATATCTGAAGACCTTTTGGAAATAATAATTAATTCTATTCGTGAAAAGAAATTAGCTAAAACACTAGTCATTGGTAGTGGCTTGTTACATTCCTCTAGTTGGACACGAGCCAAAAACCCTTAGGTTAATCATGAAGACGCACGTAAACACTCTCATTTGAGGCCAAATTAGTCGTCTTCAGGATAATAAGAATGATGACAAGTACTTCATTGGTGTTTTGAATAGAAAATTTGTGAGCACACGCTTTAACTGTCCGCACTAAGTATCCCCCCCCCGTGTCTTAACTAAAATTGTCTGTGTTAGGTCAAAGTAATCCTCATTTTTCAATGCATTGACTTTTTACAGAATTGCGTAAAATTTACCCCATGGACATGCATCTAATAATGGTTTTTCTAACGGACACCTTGCATAAAATATCCGTGAGAGTGACCTGAACTCCATGTCTAGAGTAGTTCCATGGCCGTAGTAGCTGTATTTGCAATACTGATTCATTTATCCTAAGGGATGGTGGGGGGGGGGGGGGGGGGGGGGGGAGGGGGTGTATTTGTGTATTTTGAACGTCTTGACCTCAATTAAGGTCAAGACAGAATCACGGATCGCATTCTTTTGAAATGGACTTCTACTCCAAGTATGGGAATAATTTTCAAGAATGTAGGACCTTGTGAATTGGCCTCATTCAAACCAGCACGTTATCGAAAGTTCAGCTTCATCACCCATCCCCTCCCCCATTCTAGTGACCACATTTTTGTCTGATTAAAATGTGCCAATGCGCTCATTTCTGTCTCCCATTTGATTTATAAGATACCGGTATCTAGAAAATGTTCACTAAGAATATATTATTATTAGTTTTATTCGCAATGTAGAGCGCAAGAGCTTTTGTCAGTTATAATCTTAGAAAATGCTCTCAACACATGAATAACAAGGGAATTTCCGCACGAATTGGAGCGTGGAGCCGAGAGTCGAATATGCGAATATAACGAAGTCAAAACATCAAGTTCTTTGCTTTACTTGAATTCTTAAAGAGTGGAATCGTGGAAAAGCTTATTTTGTATGCTTTGATCTAGGAATTTTGACCAAGTCTTGTATGCGTAGTATTCAAAATTTACCTTTTCAATCGAAATGTATTTGTTATGACACCCTTATTCATTTTTTAAAGGCACGCTAAGCACAGAAGGGGTCGCTAACTTCACTCAAGATTGTCACTATGATTATTACTAACAAGCAATAATTTAATGACTTGATTGAGTAATCTAATCAGGCAAACAGACTAAAGAAGAAGCGTGATTGGTCACATCAACTTCACTCATCTGAGACTCAGTCATAGCTAGATGATTTTAATTGATACCATCTGTAAATCTTAATTGTAAATACATACAGCAGCAATGGAAGAATAGATTGCATTGCTGACATTATGCTTGAAGCTTACCACTGGCTTGAATAGCAGAATCTCTTGAGAACCCCCTGGGGTGCTCCTTTTACAGACGAATTTGCATTGACTTAAGTTATTCTCCTTTTAAGTGTCCATTTATGTACTAGAGTGCGCTGTGCAAATGTGTAGGTGAATGAATCAGTGTTAAGACGATGCAGGTCTTAACACTGATTCATTCACCTACANGGTGAGGGGTGAGGGGGCGGGGAGGATGTCTCATTTTCCCCTGCCCCAGTGTGAGAGAGCCGGGGCGACACAAAGAGCTAGTCTTTCGCGTATATTCGTTCCCAAGGCCACTGCCACAAATTACGCGAAATCACAATTCTATTTCTCACTGCCGGCTGATTGCTTGATTTCCGATTAAGGTTTGTTCCCTTTCTCTCACTTTAAGTGTGGATTATATGTGGCTCAACTTTCTCCTCCTCCCCTCCCTCCCTTTGAGCAAATCCTGGGAAAAAACTATGCCAAAAGGTCAGCGCCTTTAATAGCATGAAGAACACTGCGATTGGGTAGCTCTTTTGCCAAGTCCAGGATTGCGAATTAGATGGTAACTGACGTATTGGTTAAGTTTGTGTTTGTCTTCATTTATTTGAAAGAGATAGGACGACATCAATGAATTTTTAACGGAATTTCCAATGGCCCTGGAAGTTATTTAGGGCAACGATTCTTAGCAGTCAATAGAAATGAAAATATGAAGGCAACTTGTGTTCATATACATAAAGTCTTTGTCTAGATGAAACAATGTTTAAAAGTAGCTGTCGCCCTAACATATCGTTCCTTCGGTGAGTCAATTTAAAACTAGCGACATCTTGTGGAGGGATTGATCAATGCGGTGGAAGCTAGACATCCAATTATTAAAATAGTAGAAGAGTTCTTTCCTCCTTAAAAGTACATATTTTGAACGTAAAGATTGATTGGCTATCCGATTGGCCAATAATATAGCAACAAGGATGTTTCATTACATCATCATACATAGCAAATACAGCGATCGATAATCCTAGTGACCTAGACAAGAACTCTATTCGCAAAAACGTTGACTCCCATAAAGAGTAACAGAAATATTCATTCTTTCTTTCAGGAGAGTACTATAGCTGCCACCACAGGCATCATTTATTTCAAATAGCAGGCTTTATGATATTTATCATTAGCCCTTTATATTTGACTTCAGCTTCCCCAGAGAGGGGGGGGGTACATTTATAGTAGTTAATTGATAGCAATTCATTAGCTGTCTTCTTGCTTCCCAGTATCTCTGGCTTTCCGTCGTTGCCTTTAGGGCTGGATACCGAATCAGGTGGGTCTTCTCCATTTCCTCCTGTAGGTTACATAGGGGGCATGTGGGTTGAGTGTATACCCCCAATCTGTGAAGGTGTTTTGCCACACAATCGTGTTCGGTACGTAGTCTAAACTCAACAACGGCTTCGATTCTTGGCCAAGTAGTCTAAACTCAGCAACGGCTTCGATTCTTGGTAACCGTGTCAGGTACGTAGTCTAAACTCAGCAATGGCTTCGATTCTTGGCTAGTCGGGTATGTCGGAGAGTGCCACTGTCCACTGTTTCTCCTTTGTTCGAGCTTTGAGTTCGTTTCACCTTGAGGACTGGAATTCTGTTCTGATTAAGGCCTTCATTGTGTGGAAAGCCATCGGCCAGTCAATGCATTGCAAAATCGCTATTCCCTTCTTAGCAAGTGTGTCAGCAAGCTTATTGCCTTTGATGCCATAGTGACCAGGAATCCATTGTAGGACCACTGTTTTGTTTTTCTCTCTCAGCAGCTGATAGACTTTTCTACATTCCTTTATCTCAGCTGTTTTGGGTGTCTCTCTGTTTCCAATAGAGACTATTGCTGACTGTGAATCCGAAAGTATCACCGCTTTGGTGAATTTCGTATCCAGGCAACATAATTGGCATAGTGCTATCCTAATGGCCTCTATTTCTCCTTCAAAAGCGGATCTATTGTGTCCCACTGCTGCGTAGAAAGAGAAGGGTTCAGAAAAGACACCTGCACCAACGTTTGTTTGGTTTTCTATGTATGACCCATCAGTGAAGACTTGGAGCCATTGATTTGCAGGATAGTTAGCATTGATTGTCTCAAGGGCCAGTGAGCCCATTTGCTCTGAAGGGGTGTTTGATTTCCTGAAGAAATCAAGCAGTTGGGTGCAACGCACTACATCAGTGTCTGCTAATGGGTTCATGGGTAGAGAGAGGCTTTCCGGATTGTCATCGATTTGTAATGC